AAACAACTACCCCCCAGATTTCATACGAATTATCTGGATCATGTTATCGAACCGCGATTTCGTGATATGGATTGGCAACATCACATCGGACTTCACATTCAACATAATGGAGGGCTTGATGCAGGGTACAGTCAATTCACCAATACTTTTTAACATTTTCACTCACGGAGTATGCAATCTGGCAGGCCTGAATCGAGGTAATGGCACGTACTCTCTGGCTTTTGACGATCACTACGTCCTGCTGGTAGCCGACAAGGACCCCCGAATTATTGAACGTAAAATGCAGCACTTAGCCACAGAAATAAATAATTACTACACGAACTGATCAAGGAGCACACTGCGCCTGGGCCGGGTGGAGTACCAAACTCCGCTATCAAGATCGCCATTGCCGCGCACCCTGACATCTTCTTGCGGGTGTACACGGCATGCCTGCGGACCGGTGTCTTTCTCTCGTGCTGGAAACGATAGAGGCTAGTCCTGCTGCCAAAGCCTGGCAAGCCCCCCGAAGAACCATCGTCGTACAGGCCGCTCTGTATGCTTGATACAGCGGACAAGATTTTGGAAAAAATCATCTGTGACCGCCTCGAAGCCATTACCGAGAGCCCTGAGGGCCTCTCAGAACGCCAGTACGGTTTCCGGAAGGGACGATCGACGATCCACGCCATCGAGAACGTCATCGCTACAGCCCGAGAGGCTATCGCGGGCAAGAGATGGTACCGCGGCACCAAGAAATACTGCGCCGTCGTGACCCTCGACATGAAGAACGCGTTTAATTCGGCTCGGTGGAACAATATTCACGCCGCACTACGCCGAATGTGCACGCCTGAGTACCTGCTGAGAATAATCAGCAGCTATCTCTCAGCGAGAGTGCTCGACTACGACACGGATGACGGATCAGGGTCCTACAGAGTCACAACAGGCGTTCCGCAAGGGTCTGTCTTAGGGCCCATCCTGTGGAACGTCATGTACGACGCCGTTCTGCGCCTCAACTTTAGAGGCAACGTAAGGATCGTAGGCTTCGCGGATGACATCGCCTTGGTGGCCGTCACTAAGCACCTGTGGCAGATCGAGTACGATCTGAACGCGGCCATTGAGCAGGTGCGCCCAGAAGTAGCCTATGAGAACTCTATGCTCACGTCGTTGACTTGATCCTCCTGTATGGAGCGCCCTTCTGGAGATGTGTGACGTAGACGCAGGCCTACATCCGTCAAGTGGAGACCATACATCGATGAGCCTTCCTGCGCATGATCAGCGGGCGACCACACGTCTCCTACGACGCGACGTACGTGATAGCCGGCTTACCACAACTGACCCCACTAGCGGACGAGTGGACATGGAGAAGTAGGCTACTATCTCACGCAACTCCTGTCCGGGTATGGCTACTTATATATAAAATTTATACCATTTCAAGGGCAAAACTGTTGACATAAGGTATATTACGTTTGGGATCGTTAGGTAATGCGTTTCACATGTTGTTATGTTGATACGATAAATAGTTTGAAGATATACATATTGAGTACCCATTGGATTTTTTTCAAAATTGAAATTCATTCATTAAGGATGGGATTTCGTCATAACACAACGCGACAATTATTCAAAAGAATGAAAAATATCGCAAAGTATAGTAAACGAGTTAATAATCGATAAATAGCTCAAAATTTTCTGAAAAGTGAAAATTCTGAGAGTGACTTATTGTATTTACTATTTTCACCTTCCATTGTATATTAAATAATTTCTTATGGCTATGAAGGTGGTTCGGGTAGTATCTTATGTGAGCAGCAAGCAATCAAATATGACTTCTTAGCATTAGTCATAGCAAGATCAAGTTTGAGCTTAAGCCCATCTCTCAATATTTTATAGGAACGAGTCCCACTCGTTGACTTCATGTTCGAAATCGATGGAATTGAACCTTCCTGTAGGGTACTGCCCGATTTCAGCCAAGGGCTCGATACTTCGTATATACTATTTTCACCTTCCATTGAATATTAAATAATTTCTAATGGCTATGAGGTGGAACCATCAGCCATTAGAAATTATTTAAGAGTGAACTATTGTAGTAAGGCTGAAAACCTATTCAAATCACCGGACAGAATTGATTAAAAAATTTTTTTTGCTGAGATTCCGAGGTTGACACAAATGCAACAATTTCTCCTGCGCGTGCAAAAAATATCGCAAAATAGCGCACGAGTTAATAATCGATAATGAGCTCTTATTTTTCCGAAAAGTTAAAATTCTGAGAGTGAACTATTGTAGTACGGCTGAAGACCTTTCCGAATTACCGGACAGAATTTGGTTAAAATTTTTATTCTAGAAGATCTCATGGCTGACACAAATGCATCAATTTCTCATGCGTATGCAAAATTTGAAACATAACCTTAAAACGACACTTCAGTGGATTATCGAATTATTAGAATCGAAAATTCTAAGCGTGCACTATTGGAGTAGAGCGGTATACCTTTCAAAATTTCCGTGAAATCTCGTGGCTGACTCATGTTTGATTAAAAATTAAAATACCGCTGCTAAAGTGGCAAGTGGCAAAGTGCTTCCTCATGAAAAATTGTATTAATAAAAGGGTTTGGTTATTAAAGGGAAAATTCGTATTTCATTTTTGAATTTCAAATTCCGTTTTCTTTAATGCATACGAAACTCCGAAAAAACTTGAAGATTTCTAGAATTTTGTGTAAGATTACCTTGCTACCGAACCTACCGTACCTACCACACACACACACACATCCATACACACGGACATTTGTTGAGAATTCAATCTAGTTTACAAATATGTAAACCAAATTGTCCTACGAGGTCTGGTTCAAAATCTCGTTTTCGAGCCTATCACAGAGCTTCCTCTATGAGGAAGCAAAAACGTGATTTGACGGTAAAAAAACTTTGGATGATTGGACTTTTTTCTGAGTGTATTTTGGTACTTTTTACTCGAGATAAAAATTGAGTGATTTTCCTGAATTGTGCCATGCGATGACGCGCTAGGACACTTGGTGTGAAATGCCTCCTATGCAGTTAAATATATCTTACTATATGGCCAATTCTCTGTGAAATCGATTGGTCAAAAAAATTTTTTTTCTGCAAATATGAAGAACTTGTTGTATTTGATGTCAGATTTGTCCCAAAAAAATTTTAGAAAAATTGGGGCCTTCTATGACACTTTTTCAGTGGCCCAAAGTTGGCCATTTTAGGGTTTTTTTGAAATTCATGAAAAATCACAAATATTAAAATAATTCCTGGATTAAAGTAGAATGATTCAAAAGTAAAAGTGCCCAGCAACTTTTTTGTTGGAAATTGTCCAAATTTTCAGAAAAAAAATATGCCAAAGTGATTGGAGCCACCTAAATACACAATAGTGGGAAAACATAAAAAAAACATAAAACAAGAAATCTACTCGAGTTTGAACCAGACTTTCATTTCCTAAACTATGTAAAAAGCTTCCCAAAGATGTCAACTAATGCCTAATAAAGTTTTGTAATGGGTCTTAAAGTTTAACGCAATGTAGACAACAATGAATGGCGAAAAACGGACACGGACCGCGAGGACGAAACAGCTGGGGGACAGCGGAAGGCAACGGCAGGGTAGAACGACGGCCAAGGCATCGGAGCGAAGAAATAAGGTTGTAGATTGTATTAAACTTGGACGGTTGCGCGGAAGTGTGTGTGAGATTGCGTAGTGTGGATGGATGAATGAGGAATAAGGAAGTATTTCGCGTAGTAGAATTGTCGTGTAAGAGTCGGGTGACGATCAGAATACCTGTTGCAGCGAGTACCTTAGATTATCAAGCATACGTGGTTCGAGTCTACGTGTCGAGTTTCAGGCCTGTGCGTGGCCATTTTGCGAAGCGGTACTTCCACCTTGGACGCTCCTGTAAGAGCATGGAAGACCAAATCGCGCGTCTTCTAGCGCGAGCAGAGTAAAAGCGTAGACTGTATTTCGGAGAAACGAGCCGATTGCGCACAGTGCAATTACGCGGCACTTGACTAGGACTCGCGTCGGGCTAGCGTTGTAACCCGCGCGTTTTCTCCTTGGACTCGCGTATTATCGATTATTTCAGAGGCGTGATACGATGGTAGTGATGAAACGGGATACGAGATTGTATAAAGGATAGTGAAGGTTTGAGTTGAATAAAGAAACGAGTATTTTTGTGCAAAAGTACATTTTTGCATAGTCTTTTCGCGACCCTCTCAAACTTATTTTCAACTTGGACTACCGAAGCTCATGGCGCACTTGGTGGCGGCTCGACCCCTTTTGAGGTAATTGACTCAAGGATAGGCAACCCGGAGCCTCTGTAAATAAATAATAGGACTGCAGGCTGGGCATGGGCTAGGGCCCAAAACCTCGCACGTCTCAATATATAAGAGTTACGTGTGATTGATTATTGACTATGGCATATTTATATACTGCCCCAAACACTCAGTCTTGAGCCAAACCCTCGCAAGTCTCATACTACTTTATTTTAAGACAACTCAAGATCTAAATGTTATTCTATTCAAATACTACAAGACATTAGCCATTTAACAGGCTGGGGTACTTTCAAGAAAAAAAGTCAATTTGTTAAAATTGGTACATTTTTTTGTTGAAATAATTTCCATCTCGAAATTCAACTACTTTACATTTTAAGTTATTTAACATCAGGCAATATTAAAAAAATCATTCTAACACCATTAAAGTGGAAAGAAATTGATTTTCATCTTTGTCGATTTAACTTTTAAAACTCAAGCTACGAGTCATCACAAGATCTTGTCAATCGCATTTTGAATCAATGATTTTGACTATAGATTTAGACTATGAATTCTTACGCTATCCTCTTAAAAAAGGGTCAAGAAAAAAGCACTGCAATGTGCTCTTCACGTATGCTACGACCGTTAAATACACGATTTTTTAATAATTTTGCGAAGAGTTTACATTGAACGAAAAGCTTTTATGACTTTGTTCTATCATAAATATGAGGCATAAAGTTCCTAAAAATATTCATTAACTTAGGCCTATTAACTTACTCCCATCAATAGAGTGACTCCATGACAAACCCTTGGAGTTTGTATTTTAAGAGATACACAAAAGTTATAGATACTGTTTAATATATCTGTCTCAGATTTATTTGCTCGTATAAAATGTTGCAAAAGTCCTGCTCCTACTTTGCATGCTGAACATGATACTTTAGACATGACTGAGGTTTCTACTTCTGTCATTACTCTTTGAACATCAAGAAGTTTCATAGCTTTATCAACAAAATTTGATAAATGACCACTGTGTTGAGCTGTTTCCATATCCCATAGTAAACGTGCAAACTTAATCTGTAAAATAATTGCAAACATATCAATAGATAACAGGACTGTTTAAACATTTCAATTTACAATTTTCATTTTTGAAAAAGTTTTAGTCTATCAGAAACAAAAGCAGAATTTGAGAATTAATTAAAATGGTGTCAGCTCCTCAAGAGCTAGAATCAAAAATAAAATGAGTACCGAGCAGACCATAGAGTGAGAAGTCGGTACAGATGGAAAGTTCTTAATTAGCTGTAAGTTTGATTTCCAATTAACGCGTCATAAAAACGCGAGTAAAAGACAATTGTGTTTCAGGCCTTGACCTTTGAGTTTATTGATAGAAAAATGATTTGACTGCAAAGGGGTGAGCTGATTCTCACGAAGAGGTCTTACGTTGAGAGAAATCACTTAAGGTGAAAAACTCGTGGAATTTCTTTAAACCCTTATCTCTAATCTAAGACTCCGAGTTTGAGTCATCCAATCAAAATAATTTGCATTTGAGGTCCTTAGTTCAAATATTTCCGAAAAATTCATTTTCAAGAGGAAAGATAATTAAAATAGTTATTATATTTTAGAGATACCACACGAGGTCTTCTATGTGTGACCCATTGTGATATTGAATCTCGTGGGTGAATTTCGGTAAAATTTCACCAACTTCATCAATTATAGATAAGCTTGCAAAGCTATTTATTTGGCATTTGAAATTACTTTGTTGTGTTGCTCATAACTTTCAAAACTTACATATTCAGCATTTTTTTCACTTGAAGAAAATCCTCTAAAGGCTGTTGGCGGCATTTGGTGACTTATGTTTCGGAAAGGTAATATAGTAACTTCATGATTTTTAGTGGTTGAGTTGAATGATGCCCTTTCATCATTTATTAGTCTTCCATCAATTCTACTATTATCAATGTAAGATATTGATTCCATAGGCAAACCTTAAAATATAAAATAATTTATCAATATTTTTTTGACTATAAAATTTAATGCATAGTGTTAAAATCTGTGATGCAACTTTTCACTATAAAAAACAATTATGAAAGAAACTAATGAAGCTACGAGAAGCAGCTAGCGAACGGCTACACATATCGCAGGCAGCCAGCAATTTCAAGCAGCCAGGGTGCCAACAGTATGAGAATGAGTATGTGAGTGTGTGTGTGTGTGTGATCTATGGAGAATAATGACACTGGTCAAATACTGTTGACGCCTGGGGCTATAACGACCTCCTTTTACGTATTCACGACGCACTCTATGCATCAACTCGCAGGTTCGCAATCAACGCAACCTTTTTGCCGAGTACGCGGCAGTACGTTGTAGGCGAGCAACGAAGGCGCACTGTACCACATCACTATAAAACAAAATCAAAGTTTGAGTGCAAATATGAAGGTCAATAAAGTTAATTTTCATTTTTTCATTATTCCTGATTGTCGACATTATTGAATCTTTCATCCAATCATACACCAGTGATGACGCAAGTATAATATTATAAATAACCAATAATATGTCTTCCTTTATTATCGTTCCACCTTGGCAACGAAAACTAATGAATATATATTTTATACTTTAAATCCCGACCATGGGATATGACACATAGCAAAACAAATGAAAATTGTCTAATCATCGTAAATCAAACGTAACAACTGTTATTCTTTATACTCAAAACAACCAATTTTCTTATTTTCAGTCATATGATCATCAATATGATTGATTTGAAATTTGTTTGTTCATCCGAATTGGGTCTGTGAGTTAAAAGGGCTGGAGTACCGTACTTTTTCACATGTGTTCAGGATGGGCTACACAATCTTCGCGACTAAATCTCCGGGACTGTGTTTTTTCGTGCGTGTTTTTTCCCGGGAGATTATGTCCCGGAGATTTTGTCTCCGGAGATTTGGTCGCGGAGATTATGTCGCAGAGATTTTATTGGTAACCCGTTCAGGATATGGTGCTTGGACTTAATTTAATAAGTATCGAGTCATCAGGTGATAACAAAGAGGGGGTTTTACACATAATTAATAATTAAATATTGCATGTGAGATTTACTTCTTGAGATCAAAAATAAACTCACAGGATATGTTTTCTGGGTGTACAAAGTACCCTTAGTACGTTTGAGTTAGATCTAAGACCCGAAGCTGAGGTCGTCTCCTTGCAAGTGTCTCAGCACAGTGGCCAAACTTCACTTATACGTGAAATTACTTGATCTTATACGCACTGAAAACCTTAGGGAAGACCAGGGTGTGTTGACGCTACTTTTAAAAAACAGTTATTTTTTAATCGATATTAAGATTATATCGATGAACTTTTTGCAAAGATAAATAGAACTTGCACAGAGCTAACTGTACATAAATACTTTTATTCCAATAAAAAAAGATTTCTTCACTGTTTAGGTATTTTTATGTAGTAAAGACACAAGTGTCTGAGGGGGTAAGTTGGCACAGCTTTGGGGCAAGTAAGCATTTTTTTTCGTTTTCTTATAAATTAACAAATTTATGAAAAATTAAATTATTTTAAACTTATTAACAGTTTTTAATTTATTTATTGACTTTAATTTTATAATTGACGGTTGGAAAGGGCACTGAAAGTAAAAAAATAGTATATTATAATATATGTGACTTAAGCAGGCCATTATTGCACGGCACGGTAGCACCCGAGCGAAGCGAGGGTGCTAGTGCCGTGTTCAGAATCAGCTACTTAAGTCATAAGTATCTTACGTTTTCTTATAGCAGTGTGCTAAATTCACGTTTAGGCCCCCTTTGGCGAGATATAAGGAGCTCATAATAGCGTCGCCGTGCAGTAATGAGCAGCCTAAGTCACAGCAAAGTGTGCCTTAAACTTGAACTTTAGCCAAGCAGTGCTATAAAAGTTTTTTTTTTATTTTTAACAATACGTAAAAACCATTTTTGGAGGAAGATCCTTGCCAATAAATTGGCAGTGGTTTTTTCTCATCTACCAATTCAGCTTCAAATTTAACAAAAATTCAAATTATTCAACAAAAAATGTGCCAATGTCCCCGGAAATTTTAGTGCCAATATGCCCCTATCACTCCGAAATTATAAATAAAAAACACTTAAAAACACACATGATTATTAGAACACGAATTCTACACATGAGTTCATTACGCAAGATGTATCTTTTAATTTAATAGAAAAGACTTTATCACGATTACTTCATAAGATGTGTGATATCGCCTCCGAAAATGCACTATTTTTCAAAATCAAAAATCAAAAAACCCCAGAAAATAGGCAACCCTATCTCTACTAAAGTTGGCCGGGAAACGAAATGTTTTTAATCCTGGACCTGTCAAATTGAATATAAACCACATGGCCCCCGGTGCAACCGCCGAACAATCAATGTTCTCACGCGCATTGATTCCGATTTTTCACAAACAATCTTTTTTACGTTATTGTTTACGTATAAGTAACTGCAATAATTTCACACTTATAAATAATTTATTTATAAGCATAATCAAAAACCCAGATCCTTCTCCCAACGTTTAAATCGTCAAAGATACAGTAAAGATGATATGGCTCGCTGACGATAGAAAACTATCCCTTATTCATTACAAACTATATTTTTAATCTAACATTTATTATTCATTATTTATTATAAATATCAACCTTCTTTTTGCTATTAAATAAAATAGAAAATATAATAGAAAATTAAATCGAATGATCTAGAAGATCAGAGTTCAAATAACAACAGATGTGTCGATGGACGAGTTGCAGGCTTCTCGCGTCACCAAGGCAGAGACAAACACGCAAGTCTTGTAAAATTACACATCGAAGAACTTGTAACTGAAAATTTTAATCAATCTCGTTTGCGACTCCGACCAGTGTGGGTCTCTTCTCAGTGTCCTCTCTTTCTGTTTCACAGCCTCTGTGTCTCTGCCTCTGTCCCACGACGCTTCCAGCCGTCGAATTATTATCTCAATAATATAAGTTATAAATTATAATACAGGCCTATCTCGTTATACACGGGGGTTACGTTCCGGAAAAGTTCCGCGTATAGCGAAATCCGCGTATAACGAGGCAAAAAGCGAATCTTCAATAAAGACTTTTTATTTTACATAAATATATCAATATAAAATTCTACAAAGGTTTCGTAAAAAGAACGGTAACTTTGCAATAGCAGCAATACACTCCTGTTCTGTGATTAAATTTAGAATTTTTAGTTTTTCAGCCAAATTAATGACTTTTCTTTTTTTTATTGGAGTTTTAGAAATTTTTGGAGTATTCGGAGCCATTGTCAAATTTTTCAAAAGGTTATAAAAAAAAATGTTCGACCGTCTTGAACCGCGTATAACGTGAACTTATCCGCGTATAACGAGAAATCGTCGCATTTGGCAATCGGCGTATAAGGGTAAACCGCGTATACAGAATCCGCGTATAAGGAGGTATGCCTGTATATTCATTTAATTATTTCAAATGCTTGCTTTTAACTTCATTTATTTTTCCTCTCTAAATAATTTGATATATTAAACAAACACAACTCCTAATGTCATCACTGCCCCGAGGCGATCAATGGGTAACCATTTCGCCTTGCGGAAAGTGACCCTCTTTTCCTTACTAAAATTTACGATGTTTGAACTTGCATAAATACATGGAAGTATACTTGTGCTATAAGACGTCTCGTCTTGGCACTAATGAAAATTCATACAAGACCACTATAACCATAAGGTTGCAAAAGTCCCGTCTACCGACGTGACAATGGAAAGATAATTAAAGTTTTTGTAGAATGTAATATTTTTTCCGGCTGTCAAAATTTTTCAATCGCACTTGCTTCTTTACTCAAGACTGATGCGAAACTGATATTCTGAACAAATATTCGTCACAATACAGTGTTTTAATTAATGGCATTGCCATCTCCTTTCAAGGAGTTGATAAGGAGGAATACGCGGCACAACCCGGTCTCCTCTACTAAATGCTGTGACAATGTCACTGGCGACGAACGCCAGTCGTCTTTGCATGAATGCCGCGTGTATGCGTGTGAGAGAGTAGTGACCGACCGACCGGGTAGGGTGAAGCAAGAGCTAAGCGCTTTTAACCTCCGCACGCCGCGGTAGCGTAGACGTAGACGTGCTCGTTACCGACCGAACGAGCGGCGCGGCGACACAGCAGCAGTGGCAAGAGCAGCGGGAGGAGGGGAGAAGTGCAACGAAGAAGGATATGTCTGGACACACGAGGAGACACAAGGAGATGATTACGTATCACTCGACGGAGAGAACCACGTCGAGGTCCGTGGCCTAGAAGCGAGTGTGAGAACAGCCGTGAAAAGTGGATTCGAAGCTGGCGAATTGCTGAGTGAAGCGTTGTGGAAATTGAGATCGAGTACGAGTAACGTCGAGCATTTTATCCGAGGCGAAGTATACATAGGCAGCAGTGAGCGAATTGCGAGAGTAGCTAAGTGCCAGGAAGTTAGAAGCGCTTAGCTCTTCCTTCACCCTGCACGGACGGTCGGTCAATCGCAACTCTCTCACACGCATACATGCGGCATTTATACGAAGACGACTCTCATTCATCGCCAGTGACATCGTCACAATGCATATAAGGGGGAAAGGCACCTTACAATTGAAAATTTTTTTATTGAATTTTTGAGTAGGATTTTTCCTCCCCTTTTCATTGCATTTTTCGAAATTCTAAAATTTTGATTTTGCAAGGAGATATAGCTATTTCCGTGAGCCTTTTCCTATATGTACACTACATGTTAAATTTTTTCTTTTTTTGCGTTTTCTGGTGAGTAGTGCTTTTGGTAATCTGTCGTAACTTTCAAAAGGGTTCCCCCCACTTTCCCGACTCCGCTTTCACGTCAACCATTATCACGACAAGTATTTTTCCCGACAATCCAAAATCCCGAATCCAACAACCAATCCGACAATCATTTTCCCGAATAAAATTTCCCGACAACCATTTTCACAACAAGTATTTCGAATTTTGTACATATA